AAAGCATTATATGGAAATAATTTGTGTTTCCCGTGCTCTTACAAGTTACAACATCATATCCCTATTGCCACTTTAGCTCCAAATTAAACATCTTCCTTAGAAATCTCCTTAACTTTTACATCTCTGTAAAAAACATGGACATCCAGGGAATTACTGCCAATTCATCACTTGGAGAATCTACACCTTATTCATCTGATATTGGAACTAAAAGAACTTGCATACTTCTAGTCCTTGATGATATTACTTGTCATAATATTGTTTCTGATATGCTTCACAATCAAACTTATGAAGGTATCTAATATAAATTTTCATGTGGCAATCATCATCCAATCTTCTTTCTCAACTTTGTTTTCTTAGTTCAAAGAAGAGTTATTGACTTGAACTTTTGTCTTTTTGTTTATCAGTTTTGCATGTAGGAAAAACAATGGATACTTTAAATGCCATTTGGGAGAGAAAGAGCATCCTCAATCTTGTTCTTACAAACATACACAGGCTAAACACACATGGGGTTGACATTCTCCAAATTATCAAGAACAAACTTAATCTTCCAACCATTTGTAAGTGTTTTATAGTTTTATCTTTTATACTTTAGAATTTGTTGTCATTTAGTTTTCTCATCAAATTTTACATACTTTCCACAGTAATGTCACCAGATGATACAAGATACGAAAATCAAGTCCAAGATTGCAGTGTTGCAGCATATGTTGTGAATATTTCAGACACAAATGAGATGAACAAGCTTTGGCAAATGGCATTAGAGAAAGAGAAAGCTAGAAAAGCAGCAGTGAATCAAGAAGAAGATGATTATGACAATGCTACAAGATTGCCTCAGAATGTAACTGAGACAAATACAGAAAACACATCATCTGCTGATAGTGATGTAAGGGCTCATGATGTGAAGGGTAAGCGAAAAGCTTACAGCGACATAAGTGAAGAAAATGGAGAGAATAGAGACATCGAAAAGAAACGAAGAGTGGTTTGGACTCCAAAGATGCATCAAAATTTCTTGCAAGCTATCCAGCAATTAGGCCATGAAAGTAAAACAGTTGCTCCTCCCTCTTTTCCCTGAAAGTTAATTTCTTTATGTTCTAAATATGTAGTTGACACTATGAATAATACTTGATGATGACTCTTTTTCTTAATTGATATGCAGAGGCAGTTCCTAAGAAAATAGTTGAAATAATGAATGAGCCTGGATTGACTAGAGAACATGTTGCCAGTCATTTGCAGGTGTGTTTTCATTTATATTATAATCTTCTGCAGAAGTTTCAATCCCTTTACCATTACCTTATCAAATTTTCATCAGATAAGCTTTTATGTTAACTTCTTTTCCTTTCTCTCCAGTTTTTCCTCCTAGGCTTGCCACCCCCTACTTAGGCTGATATGAGGGGGTGGAAAGCAAATTTACTTCTTCTTTGTGGAGATTATATTTTTTTCCTTTTTAGGAATTTTACAAAATAAGGAAATGTGAACCATTAAAGTGCTATTACTACAAGAATCTCAGGGATTAATACATGAATATCTCCAGTTTTAGAAAGCTCATGATCATAGCATTTAATATCTAGCAAAATCTTTGCATTGAGAGCTAGAACCTGGCAGTTGTCTCTTGATGCATGTCACACAAATGTTGAATGTCTTAATTCTCAAAATCAGGACATATTAAATTCTTGTGATATTTCATGGTTAAATTTAAATTGCTATTAAACAAAGGAGTGTACATATTTGCAGAAATATCGCATGTGTATTAAAAGAGCTCAAGAAAGTTCAGCAGCTTCTATCTATGACCAAATCCTAACAAATGATGCTAAAGAGAAATGCTTTCAAGTTCAAACATACCTATCTTCTCTAAATTTAAACGCAACGCGAGGATATTCTCGTTCTACACAACAGCCATTTCAGACACACTTTCAGCAAGGAACTGGTGGCATGAACTTGAGACAACCACAGATGGTATCATTCCCCAATATGGTCAGTTTCCAGCAGCAGAACAGTTTCTTGGATTTTGCCAATTCGCGAAAAGCAGAATATCATAGTGGCCAAATTGGACAGCAGTCAACATTTTTGCCAAGAATAGCTCATAATAGTAACTTCAGAGTATATAGTGATAAGAGAAAGAACATGCTGTTCAGCATCCAAAGTGGCAACGCAAACCAGCCCGCAAACTCAAATTCTGGATTGGATTTTATTGGTTTTAGATTGAGCAAAGATGGGAAATCTGTCAACTTTGGTCACAAAGGTTCATCTTCTGCTGTAATATCCAATAATACCGCGTATTCTGGTCTATGTTCCTCAATGTCAGAGGACTACATTCACAAGCAGCAACGTTCACCACCATTCTTGGAAACTCCTAATGAAAATACCTTAATTCAATGCTCTTCAGCTCCACCTGAAAATTTCACAATATTCAATCATCCTTCTAACACCATTTCAGAACAACAGAATCTTTTACTATTTGATAATGCAGCGAACAAAATAACATGTCAAAGCACGGAAATGCATGTCAGCTTCATACCCCAAGAACAGCTTTCAGCACAGCAATCATCAGGAGATCTTGAGGACTATTCTGCAATACTTTTTGGTGATGAAGTATCTGTGCCACCACTAGAGAATTCTGGGAATTATGATTCTAGACAGCAACTATATTCTGTACCAGACTTACCACAAGAATTCAATAGTTTAGGCACTGAAATAGACATTAAGTGTCTGCTGGAAATAGCAGAAAACAGAAGTTCACAACTATTTTGGGAGGAGAGATTCTGAGAATGAACTTCATTAACCTTGCTCACTCAAGTTTTATTAATTATAAGTTGTATAGGTAGTTTAGAGATATACCTTTTATCTCATCATGTTTATAAAACTGTACTTTCATTTAAGAAGGCCATGAACCTCAAGTTGCTAACTAGATGCTGTACCACTGTGTATGTTCCTGTGTTATGATTTTTCTTTTTAATTTCTTGGTCTTAGTGCTAACACATTTTTTCATATTTTTATAGATTTCATATGTTAGTTTTTACTAATCCCGTGTAGTAAAACTAACAGTATTTGTAATGGATTACAAAACCAAATCTCCAGATTGATAAAACCAATTTTCTACAATGGTAAATTAGAAAGTCTATAAAAGTTAAAAAAGACGATCCATAAGGGTAAACTTGTCTTTTTAGGAACATTCCAATGGATAAACCCATGAAATTAACAGACCAATAACCGCAAAAAAACTACCAATGCCTTGTTTGCTACATTCCCTGTTGCCACTCTCTTCAACGCCAAAACCTCTACTCTTGGCAAAGTCGCCGGCGTACGATGGACCCGTTGGTGCCAATAGACCAAGACCCAAATCCCATCATACAATAACTGCAATATCTAAAACCAAAAGCAAAACAAGAATCAATAACAAGGCTGAGGATGACTATCATGCCACCCTTAAAGCTCTCAACTCTAAAGGTCGTTTCCCAAGAAAGTCACTTGGGCAGGTATTTACTGCTTTCTAAAGCTAATTCCCTTCTATTTCAGTGTTTTAATATCTGGGTTTTGTTTATTCGGGCATTTCATCGAACAGAGAGACGGGTATGATTGAGTTAGCTAGTGTTTGATGTTTTCTATTCCGTTTTTCCTTAGTAAAGTGAACGGAGAAACGGGTATGATTGAGTTAATTTGGTGTTTAATTGTTTTTTTTAATTCTATTTTGGATTGTAGCATTACATGCTGAATTCGTCAGTGAACGAGGAACTAGTTGCTGCTGCTGATATACAAGAAGGAGATTTGGTGGTTGAAATTGGGCCTGGTACTGGTTCACTGACCAATGTTCTTGTCGACGCTGGTGCCACTGTCCTTGCGATTGAAAAGGTTTATTTTGTTTCACTGTCAATACACTTCTCCTTGTTTGATCTTTTTCCTTCTGTTGTTTTTTCTGCCCAGGCTTAGAGTAAATATTAGGAGTCTCTTATGTAACTGTAAAGATAAGTTTGATCTTTAAAAACAAATTAACTAGTTTCGGAATGACATGGGTTTAAATAGAGTGGAATGGCTGCAGCCAACCAGCTTGGGATTAAAATGTAGTGAGTATAATGCGCATGCAAGCGTGTCCGTATGTTGAATAACCATATCATATTGAAAATTGTTAAGACTTAACAAACTTTGAGGATATATATCTTTACATGAACAGTTATGAGGGGAAAAAAAGGTTTTTTAATCTTTTGTTCTTTTTTCTGTTTTTCCTTCTTGTTCCTTTTTATTTATTGTTGACACAATCATTTTATTTTGCTATGACTTCAGGATCCCTACATGGCAGCCCTTGTAATTGAGAGATTTTCCAGTCTGAACCACGTAAAGGTAACAATTTTAGTTAAAATCTCTCCACTTTGAAATACAGGATTAAAAGTTAATTTTTGAGAATTACTCAATAAAGAGTGTTCGTTGACTCAAAAAGGAGATAAATGTACTTGGTTTACGCTATGCTTCAGGTGGCTTCTATTGTAAAGAAATATTGAAATCTGATAATGTAACCACTGCATCTATAGGTTTTGCAAGAGGATTTCACAAAATGTCATATACGCTCCCATTTGTCCACAATTTCGCAAAGTGGAAGGAATTCTTCAGGTGTGAAACCACAATATGCAAAGGTAAGCACCTGCCTTCTTTTCTCAAATTCTTCGTTTTAATAAAGTTAGAAGAAATCTCAGTATCTGTTGGTACTATTTTTGACAATGATGCATATTTATTGTATATGTTTTTCAATCATATGTTCTCATATACATTTTTGGAGGTAATGTCCCGTGTTGCTTGTTTGCAGTTTGCAGTTTGCAGTTCGGAGTTTAGATCATCATCAGTCCGTTCATAGTAACTTCGATATGTTCCTCTTGTGTGAAAATAAAAATGCCCCTACAACGAAGTGAAGTTAGTGATGACCACAGCAACATATATTGAGCATAGTTTATCTCCTTTTTGAACTTAAAGCCTTCTTGCATGTCTTTTGCTATTCCGGTGTCTAGTGACTGTATACTGCCACTGTTGCTTTTGCTCGTTTTGTACGCTATGTATTTAGGCCCTCCATATAAGTAGTCCTTTTGAAATGGTAGTTAAAAAACCCTGCTAGCACCGTATGACCAATCAGTCTCCCCTCAAAGCTTGTGCTCTGTGGAGTCTGGAATGAAAGAAAGGCCCTAAACCATCTGAGTTTTAAGGCAAAAAATAATAATACCCCTCCTTTGGGTGCATAGAGGCAGTTTTAGATGTCTATGGGCTTAGAAGGGCCATTTTTATAACTTACTGCCCAATTGATGGGGGACTGAAAATGAGAAAAATAAAATTTAGGGATAAAGAGAGAAGAAATCCCTCGAGGGACCATTTTGGCAAAAGATCATCTTCTAGAATTACTAGTGAAGATTATCTTGTCATCTCTGGAGGGGTATAGTGTTCAGGATGTCAAACATTTACCTCGTAAAAGAAATATTACTTGACGTGGCAGCGTCTCTGGATTTTGCTTTCCTTGAGCCGAGGGTCTATCGGAGACAACCTCTCTACCTTCAGGTAGGGCCAAGGTCTGAGTACACGCAATTCTCCCCAAGCCCACTTGTGGGATTACACTGGTTATGTCGTTGCGNGTAGTTCTGTTACTCCAGGTTTGTATTGTCAGCTTAAATGCACCTCCAAATCAATTAATTACTAATGCCAACAATGGATAGCAGGAAAGATATGTTGATATCAATGGGAGCCCTTAGTTCTCCTTCTTTTAGGATTTCTTTTTTCTTTCAACTGAGCAACTTAATATGCATCAGAGACTGTTGGTTGTTCTGAGTGTTGTCATACTTTTTTACAATCTGTACATCTTTGGTCTTGTTTAGAATTTACCGGTTAGATATTGAAAATTATGGGCTGAAGCAATAAGACTAAATTTCTTTCTCAGTCCACGCTTTTGCATCTCAATTTTGCAACATGTTCAAGTTGCAAGTGTTTTTCTAGACCTGTAGTTTCTTTTGAAAATCCCAGAACTAAGCAAGCTTCTCTTTTTTAATGCATCTGCACATGTAGAGTGAATCATGTTGGTTGCCTTGGTTCTTGTCATTTTTCTACCATTTTGGTATTGTTCAAGTTTCACTGCTTGTTCTCTCTTTTTATAAGCTAAAATTTTCATTACGAAACACCAAGTCGGTGTCAAAAATATTTCTTGGTTGTTTATACGACAAAATCCAAGTCATCAAGGTACCTATGAAGTTTGTCAACTCCTTATACAGCATGGTTCTCTCTTTGCACAAAAACTGCAAGTGAAATAAAAAGACCATTTTCATGCTTTCGACATCATTCTCACTGTCATCTATTGCTTCTTTTCCATTAGCACCAAAAGAGACATAGCGGTGACATTTCAAGGCTGTCTTCTTACTGCTATCCTCTGTATGCTCCAACTCATGGTTCCTTCCTCTATTGTTCATAATAATACCCACTATGTTAAAAGGCGAGACTACAGAGGATCAATCTGCTATATGTTAAAAGACGAGAATAAGAGAGTTCTCTGTCGTGAAGCCAACCTGAATGCAAATTAGTAATCTCTCCAGATTCTTCATCATGCAACACCAACTCACAAATGTCTTTCTTCTCTTTCTCAAATTGTGCACCATCTGGAAGGCATCCCGCACTGGAGACCAAGCGAAGAAAGCAACCTTTTTTTTTTTGGAGCCTAGGATAGGGATTTGACTTCTTTCATAGTCTAATTTTCTGTCTGCATCCTGAACTCAGTTGCTAATTTCACTTTGCTAAGGTTATCGCTTAAACCTATGTGGTAGTTACATTTGATGCCTTCCAATATAAAACAAGGTCCTCGTGGTGCTGTTCTATGTTTATGTTAAGATCTGTGGTTGCTAGTTTCAGGAAATTACAATGATAGATGTTCTTGGGACATAATGTAAGAGGTCATTTCACAAAATATGCGACTTAATGGCATAGAGGAAACAGTTTGATGGATTTCACCTCTTACTAATTCTGACCAAACTATTCCAATTGTTGACAGAACTACTAACAGTTGATTGCGTGCAATTTCAGGAGGAAGCAGCTGTGCGCTTGGTGGATTCATCCTCAGGGTCCTCCGAGTATCGACCCATTAATATCTTCATCAACTTCTATTCAGGTAATTGAAATCCTTGTGAGGGTGAATTAATACCTTAGGCTTCAATGACATGACTCTAATTTTGGACTGAGGGTGACAAACTTTTGCTAGTGATTACTTGATACTAAAACAGCCATAATTAAGAGGTCTTTTCTTGCAAAGTATCGCATTTCCAAATGTTCATTATTAGTCATCTGATAAAACAACGCCTATATGCTGTTGATTTCCCATCTTTTGTGTCTGAATCCGTAGTACGTCAAATTCTGTGCTTAGTTGAATACTACTGGTCATATTCTTTGAGCCTCTAAGCTATACTGTACAAATCAAAATCGCGTCTTTAGTATTGATGAAATTTTCAACTAAATAGCTCCAAAATCAGTTGGTACATATTAATCAATAATCTCAAGCTTTTGCATTTACATTTTTCTCTGCAGATCCTGAATACAGATTTAAGGTGCCAAGGACAAATTTCTTCCCACAACCTAAAGTAAGTGATCAGTATATATTTTCCTGTTTGAATTCCTAGCCAAAACCAAGACTCAAAGGTACAGAATTTCTTGAAAATTAAACATTAGCAGATTACACATATTCTAGACTCTTCTAGGCACGCTGGCTTGTCACTTTCAATAAATTGAACACATACAGTCTGGACGGCTTCAGCTCTGATGCTCTTTCCAATATCAAATACTTTGATCTGGGGTGGAATGAACTTTATTCTAATGTCTAGGCGTGTTCCCTTCATCCGAAAAATGAAAAAATTGTGTATGCATGCTTCCTTTAATACATTCTTCGGTCTGATGGATAGTATTATTCGAAAAATACAGTCCTTATATCATGTATAGGATCTTCGCTGGTGGTATAGCTTTTCCATGTCCATATGATGGTGTCTAATAGGTAATTGTTATGATTATTCCATAGGGTCACAAAGTAAGATTATTTGTTTCTTGTTCTTCAGGTCGATGCAGCTGTAGTTTCCTTCAGACTGAAGCAACCTGTAGATTATCCTCCTGTTTCTTCTGCCAAAAGCTTCTTCTCAATGGTTCTTACAGCTTACCCATATACTTCCCTTTTTGTTTTCCCACTGTGCTCGCATGATATAATGATTGCTAGCATGACACTATACAAACTACTAGTAATAATTAGTATGTGCAGTCCGCAGTTAGGCCAATGCTTAGTTATACAACAAATTTGGGAATTTTAGGGTAAAATATGGTGAATAGTTTATCTTTCTCATTATTCATAGCTGACATTCCTCATTGATGGTTAAGGTCAATTCTGCTTTTAATGGAAAACGTAAGATGTTGCGAAAAACACTACAGCATATATGCCCTTCCCTTGAGATTGAAGAAGCTCTTGTTGGTGCTGGTCTTCCATCCACGGTATGACTGATGTATTTTGTGATTTATCAGTCAATGGAACACCAACAATTCTTCTATCCAAGTCAGCTCTTCCATTTGATGTTTTTTTTTTCTTCTTCTTCTTTTTTTTCCAGGCAAGGCCAGAGGAGCTAGCGCTAGAAGATTTTGTAAGGCTGCATAATTCCATTGCTAAAGCCTAAGACTTTCTGGTGTCACTTGGCGCTTTGCTGAGGATACTTGAAAGTAGAGGCATCACCTTTCTTATTACTCAACTTGTTATCCTAAACTTCACCAGTAGCAGAATTTGGAATAAGGAATTCACAAGCTTCTGCAAGCCTGGAGAATTATCACCAGCTGGGAACTCAAACAGCTACAGTTGACAGCAAAAAGGACAACTCCACAAAAATTGATTGAGCCTCCATTATTACTCTTGTCCCATCAAAGCCTTAATCCATTCAACATCGCACAAGTGTTGAGAGAAGAATTATCAGGCAATCAGAGCTCAGTGTAAATATTGTAGTAGCACATATCTATTTTTACAATCATTAGAGTATCTACCAAAGACCAATAATGTATTTGGGTGATATAAACGGTATTTTTGCATCGAATCATCCTATGTTATTCATGGAGAGTGATGATTCATATCTAACTTGCTTGGCATTGAAGTGCCTTTGTTGTTTTTCTGTTGTATCAAATGATATAAAAGTTGTTTATGTTTTTATCTATTTCACATCATACGTACCACTTATAACAACTAGGGTAATGCCACTTATTTCTAACAATTTTGCAATGAAATCAAGAAGCAAAAAATCAGTTCATAATCCGAATGGGGGAAAATGGTATAGATTATCTCAATCGAGATCATGAAAATACATTCTAAAAAACAATAATATATCCACTCTAATAAGTAGCTATATTCTCAAATAAAAAGAATGAAATTCTTTACGCAGTTTATTCAAGAATGAAACTGATAAATAAGGTCCAAGGACCTCAACCTAGTCCCATGAGGATCAAATTCCAGAGCAGGGAGGCCGCCGTCATTGTGGTAGCTCCGCCGCTGCTGCTCAGTCGCAGCTGACGCCGGCGAAAGGGGTCTTTTGGGTCTCTTATTCTGAATGAAACAATCCCTCATCCTCTCCTCAACTCTATCAAGAGAATTCTGCTCTGTTTCATTCACATCATCAACCTCCTCATCCCCCACTTGCATAGGTTCATCAGTATCATTCTCATCACCACCGCCTACGGCGGAGGAGACAGAGTTTTCAGGCACGGGAGGTGGTGGTGGTGTAGGGAGGAGATGGGGTTGTTGAGGGGGTGGGTGGTGGGATAGGGATAGGAAAAGGGAAAGGTGGTGGTGAGCAGAGTGAAGGGAAGAGTAGATTTGGAGGAGTTGGGAAGAATCAGAGATGGTGGGGAGTTGTTTAGCCATTAGGGTTGCTTGGTCCAGTGCTTGTATTAGCTGTGCTACGGAAGCGCCTCTCTCTGACGCCATCTCCATCTCCATCTCCATCTCCATTCTCAATCCTACCAGTTTAACAAAGGCAGTTGGGCGTCTCTTTGTTTAGGGGGTGTGGATTCCTTTTCCTTTTGTACTTTTTGTCTTGTGTTCAGTTGATGGATACATGGCTCTTTTAATTTCTCACTCACTTTCTCCTGTCTTTTTGGTTTGACACTATTAATTTATCTTCAAGACTAATTTGACCTATCCAATAGTCTAACCATCCATCTTTTCAAGTTATAAACTTCTGTTCAGTGTAGATCTTTATGTAGTTAGTTTTTATAACACTGCATAAACTTTGCATTAGTAGATAAAACATAAACTTCATATGAAGTAAGGGCTACACCTTTTTGTTTAGTTTTTGAGAAACTTCCGGTTTATGACTCTCTTGTGTGAAAATAGCACGGGCTAGCCAATTTTCAGATTGGTATTTAAAAATAGTCGGCGTTTATAAAGTCATTAAAAAATAGCCACTATTTTGCTGCAATACGCAAAGTTCCAGCATAATATACTGAAGATTGGAGCACCTGTGTATGAACTTCCAACATATTATGCTAGACTAGTATATTACACTGGAACTCCAATATATTATGCTGGAATATTTTTTGAATTTTGAACAATGTTTTCATTCAGATTTATCTTTACATGAAAAGTGACTAAATTTCAATTACTTTTAAAACTGTGGCTATTTTTCAATTACCACTTGTAAATCTGGCTATTTTTTAATTTCACTGCTCTCTTCTCAGCTTTTAAAATATACTCCTCACTCGAAATAGATGAAAACTGTTAGCTTCTGTCGAAGGACCTTATAGCCTTTTTGGCCAAGTTTCTTTTTGGCCAAAAATATTTTTTTTTGCCAAAAACACTTTTGGCCAAAAATTGAGGTGTTTGGCCAAGCTTTTGGAAGGAAAAAAAGTGCTTTTGAGGAGAAGCAGAAAAAAGTAGCTCCTCTCCAAAAGCACTTTTTTTAGAAACACTTTTGAGAAAAATACACTTAGAAGCAGTTTTTTAAAGCTTGACCAAACACTAATTGCTGCTCAAAAGTGTTTTTCAAACTAATTAGCCAAACACAAACTGCTTCTCACCAAAAGTACTTTTGAGAAAAACACTTTTGAAAAAAAACACTTCTCAAAATAAGCTTATTTTTGTAGCTTGGCCAAACGGGCTATTAGTCTCTTTATATTATGAAGCTTACAAGATGGCATTGCTAGGAGCTTTTACACTGATTATACAACCACGTGTTTTGGGATAGATATATAAGGAGGACGGGGTACAAAAAATGGCTATTCAAAATGGCCATAGCTAGAGAAAGACAATGCTTTACATTTACAAGAAGATGAAGAGATTGAAAACTAGTATCTATCTAGACATTGAGCAACCGTAGATAGTCATCAATTATGGACATTGCAGAAGACCGATAACCAGAACCAAACAAGTTATAATGATTGAGGTAATGATACAGCATGTACAAATCTCTCCTTTGTTCAAAACCGGGTTGTTCAGGCATCACCTGAACAAAAGATACATAGAAACAAATGAGAGTAAATACCAAGAACATGAAGCAAATGTCAGACAAACATCACCATTAAGTTGCAAGTTGATAACCTGGTTCAAATGTCAATATGGTGGATCATACAATCCAAAGTAATGCTAAAACTAACTCTGTATTTGAGATCACCGATTATATATTGAAAAACAGCAAATAAACAAAACATGCCTTTTTCTCCTCTCTTTTTTCCTTCAGTATGTCCTCGTGGGTATTAAATGCTGGTGAAAAGTGAAAGAAATGCGTATTACAGAAAAATCATTAATTACAGCACCTGAAAATAAGCCTTGTAAAAATCTCCTCCAAATCCGGCACACCATGACATTCCAAATTCTGCTTCATTATGTCCATCTAAAGAAGACAGAATTCATAATGTTAGTGCATCTGGAGCCATCAATTCATTTACCTAAAACCAAGCACCTGACTGCCAGGATATAAATATTGCACTGAGATCTTTCAACTTATGTATATTTCCTTATCCATCTACATTGCAATGTGCGGATGACATTGGCGCAAGGAATAATGAGGCAGAAAGGGGTTTAAGTCCTATTACAAGGCATTAACACGAATCACATAAAACCAAGCTGTAAATCTTCAAGTAAATCAAACCAAACCATCTAGAGAAGAGGCTAACAGAGGATGAAGCAACCAATCTATATGAAGTTTGCCACAATCCAAGAGGCAATAATCATTTTTTAAGTGTAAACCTTTCAGTATACACTTAACCTAACTGACTGTTTACAAGTATAGGGGTGCAGTATCCAATTTGAGGCAAGAGGATAACATGTGGAAACATTTCATCATTATGAATTCACCTCACAAAATTCTTTTCATATTAACTTTTCAAATAAGTCAAACTGGACTTTGGTTGAATGCATTTTCAGACAAATTTAAGCAATTTGAGGAATTTAAAAAAAATAAAGAGTATATTTCACATAATTTATCATTTTCTGAAATTCTCTTTAAATAGCCTTGACCAGTGCCCTGTTTGAACTTTGAAAGTCAATTTGGGCAATTGGGACAGTTGGAGAATCTCATATTGGTTTCCTCTGAAAAATTATATATATAAAAAGCAAATACTTTACCTTCATAGTAGCATCCTACATTTCAATGTTTGCGTGTCTAATTGTCATTAAATATTGTAAAATTTATCAGGATCCTGGTCATTTACATTAGCTGTCTGATCTTGAATCTCTTACTGTATCAATCTTCATTACTTTTATCTGTTATGTTGGAGGCTCTGATAAAAAGTAAGGTTGTGAAAGTTTAATGAGCTATAAGGAGTTCACATCACAATATAAACTGCACCAAACACACTTGCCTCAGATATTACATAATACAATGTTCAGGTACTTCTGGAAGAGATATATTTCATATAAGAAGCAGTGAATGAAAAAGCAAAAACAACCTTTTGATGGATAATATTGAAACTGTGAACCTAGGACTTACAATAACATGCAGGGTCAAGAATCACAGGTTCACCATTCTTGTCATATGTGATATTCCCACTCCACAGGTCTCCGTGCAACAAGCATGGCTCTATCACAACATTTCTGAATAAAGGTCCCAGGTTCTTTGCTAGCCTTTGTCCTAAGAATAGATTAATTAAAACAAAACAGATAAAACATGTCAGATATTGAATGACCATGCAAACATCCTTGTGCTCTTTACAAGCATCTAGTTAATTAGAGATTAAATCGCAGTTGTAGAACGGCCAAGCCTCAAATTCCAGAGAAGGAATATTATCACAAAAATGTTGGATTTCGATACATTCAATAAGATTCAAGTGCTTTGAAGTTTAATATTTGTCCATCATTCCTTGTTCCCCGATGTTGTCTCATTGCCAAATGAAAATCTAATTGTAGAAACTTAAACTTTAAACTTGTCTATCAAGACTTCTTAGAATGAGTACGCGAAGAGAGGTGAGATTATAAATCTCTCAAAGCCAGATTAAAAGATAAGTGGAAGCATCAGTTTATGTGTTGGAAAAGAAGGCAGCAAGCTATTTTGACCATTAGAATGAATCTAAGGAGCAAGAATCCATTCTGCCATGTGAGCTGATCCAAATTGCAATTCTCCATATAAATGAAGCCTGAAGCAATTTTAAATTCAGAATGAAGTAAGGAGGAGGTACACATTCTGCATTGCATATTGTCAGGATCCAAAATGATAAATTCCATAAAGGAAGTCAAAGTTTTCTTTTCCAATAAAATGATGATTTAAACCTCTCTCATAAATGGTTGAATCCCCATACTGTTCACGCGCCAACTTCAGCTGGTATCCCAATCTGTGCTCTGCATAAAATTCGATCCAATCTGCCGTCCAGGTGTTTATCTGCGGAGTGCTACACAAATGCACAAATACTCAGCCATTTATATCTTCGATCAGATTACACAGAATATGGAGAAACATGAATGACGAGAAAACTCCAACTTCAACTACTAGATATTAAATTGAATATTCTCTATTTTACCTAATAATAGATGCTACTCGCAATCCTTCTATTTATAAAGAGAGCAGTGGAATGGCTAAACTTTAAATAAGTGTGAGTGTGCAATGCATCATCTAGTGGTTTTTGCGAAGTGCATCCTCATAACTCTGGAAGAATTCTGATATGATCCTGTCATGATACCTGCCAATAGTATTCTCAACGTGAAAGCCAAAACCCTTCTCAGACTTTGCTGCTTTATGCATTTCAGCAAGCTTCCTTCCTAATGCAGACTGAAATGCAGTAAATGGTAAAATATCTGAATGCTGTTACCAAATTAACCCCCCAAAAAAAAGGATGAAGAAAAAAGTAATTACGGGGAAAAGAACATGAAAAGTCACTCTCACCTGATTGCCTCTAGATGCACCAAACTCAATAAATTCCATTATGATGTATGAGCCGCCTGTCGGCAGAGATCCAACCTACACAATGCATGAAACAATCTCCTCTAGGTTACACTTGTGAATATTCTTTTCTCTTTTTTATTTATTTTTTGGAGGGAGAGGAGGGAATCTTCCACAGAGTTTAGGAGGAGAAAAAAAAATTGAAATGCTTACTTTATATGGTTTTGGTACACGGATTGACCCTGTTTGGTACATAGCATTTAAACCCAATGACTCTCCCTCAAACATTGATGGTCCAATACTCCTGATTAGTTTTTAAACAATACTGTATAAGCAACCATCTATCGTATTTGACAATACCATATAAGCTATCTATTACATTTAACATCAGCATATTAAGCAATCATCTACCTCATCTGTTCAATGTTTGAGAAGGGAAAAAATAATCAAATACCTGTTTGTTTTAACAAAAAAGGAACCAGCATCAGTATCATAACGTGTTGCACGATTTATGCACCCACCACCAATAGGACTGATTCCTCTGATCTGTGTTGCCTTTCCTTCTGAAAGGATCCATTCACGAAT